AAGTGCTCAAAATTCACAACATATTCATAATTAACAATCGGAGGTCACAGGTTTTAAGCACAAACATACAAGGAAATAACAATATAAGTCATTTTAAACATTCAATAAAAAGTGATTGAGTGTTGCTCACGGAAAACAGTAGAGGATGAGGGTTCAAAGTTTAAAACAGAGGTGATTCAGAATAGTAGAGAAATAATGGAGAATGGGTAATCACCAGAAATACTGCATGGCGAGGGTGCGAAACTACATACAATTAGGGATTTTTTAACATTCTAAAAGGAGGGGGAATAATTTTACCCCCGTCCCCCCTTTTGAGGGAAAAAAAAAAGGGTTTCCGATCACTCTAGTCTCACTGGAGCTACAGCCACTATTAAAAAAATGCACTGGTATTAAAACTTTGCAGCAGCCTATGGCTATTCTGGACAGAAGAAGTGCATTATCGATAACTATGAAGTCAAACAAAAAAAGAGGACTGTTATTGAGGCTTCATTACACACTGTACTACTATGGCCAATTAAGAATAATATCTTCCGTGAAACAGACTCCGTGACAGTGTTGGGACATCAAAACTCATGTATGAATAAAATACTGGAAGAAAAACTAATCAGCAAAATTCAAGATAATGTACCTCAATATCAGTACTTGAATATAAATAAATATTGGACTTAATCCCAAGGCGATCGGCTCTAGCACAAATTTGCTCAAGGCTCTGTCACATAACAGAGAACAAATGCTTATTAAATTATAAAAGTGTCAGGGACCTAAAGAAAATCAAAAGTTGAACTATCCATCTTCAACAGCAGTGCAATCAGGGATTAACCATCTAAAATTAAAAAAGAAAAGATTATAGGCCAGGAGTTAAATGTCAACAGTATTAAAACATGACATGGCAATAATTTTCTGTAGATTAATTTCGTATCAATATCCAATAGTTTAAATTTTCAACGTCTTTACGTGGCATCTTCTTTTATAAGTCTTGAACAAGTTTTTGATACGAGTGTAAGAATATGAGTACATATTTTATTTTAAGGAATTCTCCTTAGGCCCTCATGCATTGGTCGTGTTCAGAACCCTCAATCTAAACAATCAATACAAAAAAATAGATTAGAACAGTATTTATATTTTAAACTAGTTCTATGTTATAGAGAAGTTATCACAGACATGTGCAAATGTTCTGACAGTATACAATAAATATAAACCATTTGTCCTGTTAATTTGGTATAAAAGAGATTGGACAAATTATCTGTGTTCTGGAGTTATGTGTCTGTAAAACTAAAACGTGTTTATAAAAATTCCAATTAAATTTAAAATACACATATTTTATAAGCTTATTGATAAATATAGAAATAGTCCATGTCAGTCCCTGTAAATATAGAAATTGTTGGCTTTAGTTCCTTAAAAAGTGATTGCCTTGGTTTAATCCCTCAGTTTTTCTTAGTTGTGTTAGGTGCGGACTTTGTCCTTCACCAAAAAAAAACATGTACTTATGGTTATTGAAATAGAGACTACACTCACATTTCCACAAATGAAAAGAGCATATTTAGAAAGATTAAAATCATATTTAACACTAAAACTGTTAACAGGTTCAATGAAAGCAAACCTCTTCACCAGACACATATACAACTGGAGGTGTTTCATCATCACTGCATTTATTTGCTATCATTGCTGAAATCTTCCAAATCAACATCACAAATAAACCAGGCATTAATGACAGTTGACGAGATTGTTACAGAAAGTTGATTCATGAGACTTTATATCCAAATTTATCTGTACCTGTAACAACAGAGTACTTTTCCCGATACCAGGATCACCACCGACTAAAGTTAAAGAACCTTCCAAACCATTGTTAAAGATAAAGTTAGCCCTGGAATACCAAATTTACTTCTTGCAGGACCATCACGAAAACTTGAATTGAAAAAGGTATTATTATCAGACAATCAACTTGAGGAAGCATTCAATCCAATTGAGATTTTAGAGGAAGAAAGCAAAAAATAATGTGTAAACCGCCATGTGAAGAAATGTACGAATATCTTCGAACAGGCAAATCCGTCATATCCAAACAAACATTAGAAGAAAAATTGGATAGAACCTGGTACAAGACCTCCACCAAGCACTGTAGAAATTTCATTTCCGAGGGAACCAGACCTGAAATTGATGCGAACTGCACAGTATAAATTTGAGAAAAGAACCACGGCACATCTTTTGTAAAAGTCTAGAAGGGCAAATTCCCCCTCACACACATCAAGGCATGGTAAAAAATTGTCCTACTAATTAACTCCTTTATGAAGATGAAAAACATTCATAGAAACAGTACATTGCTATATGCTCCCAAACCCTCACATTACTTTTTTTCTACCTTTCTCCAAACAGTCCCGCTACCCCAAAAAACCTTAAAGTAACCCTCTGTTACTTGAGAGCTATGATGCACGGATACAATCCATGTACCGGATGCAACTCGTGTCGGATGCGACATATGCCAATACATTTGTTTTGAAAATAATAGGATACTATATTTGATATGTGCATATTGAAAAATGTACAATCTTAAAAACATGATAAATATGTAATTGTTATTATGTGAATCCAAGTATTGTTATATGTTGTCAAAAATAACAAATTATAAGTTATTGTCATCATAAAAATACTGATATATAGATTAGATGTATAGATAAGATCCTAAAATATTAGACACGTTGGAGATGGATAAGTGACTCAAATCGAAGTACATAGAGGAAATCATCCTCAGCAATCACCACATGATCCAAAACAAGCTGAGTCCAAATACACAAACTTTAAATTTTGAAGAAAAAGAAAAGAACTTGCAACGGAATTCTCCATTTATCGTGATTGAATCCACGTTGCACATCTTCCAATTTGACGAGGCGCAGTCCTTCAGGTCGTCGTGGGAGCCACGAGCCCACTGCGTCGTCGGTAATGGCTAACCCCCCTCTGGATTCGCCAGTTAATTTGCTCTCGTGAAACTCTTGCATTGTGCCAGTTACATCGCACTCGGGGCATGTCCCCCACCATCTCCCTGTTGCGTGCCCACAATCAGAGCACACCCACAGAGCTTTCACCTTCCCCTTTTTCTTCATCACCGCTGCATCATTTCCCCTCAAACCGCTGGGGTTTTCATCTCCATCGCTGCGATCGCTTTGCTGCACAACTGGGTGGGCGTAGATGTTCCCATACCTGCTCCAACCGGTGGTGGTGGTTTCATTTGTTGGTTTGTGTGTGAGGTCAGCTTCGGAAGAATCCGCCGTTGCAGAGTAGTGGGAAAGGAGAGGTCGGAAAATGCATTTGGGGTAGTGAAGGTGAAGCTTGTGTGCGATGAGGATGGTTTTAAGGAGCCTGGTCATGCTATTCGAGCGAGAACAAAATGTTAACGTAGAGTGATTACGTGAGAGAGTTAATTTGATAGAAAATATATTGAATGCAGAGATCAGGCTATTAAATAGCCAACACATCAGAAAAATGCGAGAAATAAGGAGTTACTCCTAAATCCTTAACTGACAGATAAAGAATCCCAGAGAAATAAGAAGATACTCCTAAATCCTTAACAGAAAAAGAATCCCAAATAAAACAGGATTTTATTTGACTAATTCCTAACACAAAATGCCTCAGCTGCATGAATCCTTGCATGAATCCTTGCATGAATCCTTGTTTGCCTTGAGGGGTTAATGCGAGGCGGGAACAGTGAAGAACTAGCTCCAAAAACAAGTGTAGCATTACGAGGAAGTACGGCCGGGAAAAAATAACTTATACCGTATTATAGTTAATTATATTATATTATATTTAAAAGATTTAATTATATTATTTTATGGTTTAGTTTTTAAAAATTAAATTTATAACAGTTTCGATTCAGTTAACTGTGTGAAAATTGTGTTTACTCTTTTCTCTTCTCTAATCTCTGTTCAATTGTTCCGAGAAAACGTTATTTAATAATAAAATATTAATAAAAGAAATCGCTTAAATAAAAAATTAATAATAAACTTTTTAAAACAAAATTTTTTTATCACAAATTTTTATATTTTTTCATCAATAAACATATATTACTTTTTAAATAATATCATTTTTAAGTAATAAAAGTAAAATATATTTTTTTAAATTTAATTTTATTAAATGATTAAGTAATATAAATCATAAAAAAAGACTATATAAAAATAATAATACTTTAAATATATTATATTCTTTAGCATATTATTAAATATATAAAAATATGTTAAAAAAACTTTTAATGATATTAAGATGTGTGTAAACGCACACACAAAAATAACTATTTATTTTAAAAATCAACTTACTTTAAAATAAATATCAATATTATTATTTTTAAATGATAATATTTTACATACTAAAATTAAAATATATTTTTAATGTTAAATTTTATTAAATGAATATATAATGAAATATCGTAAAAAAAATGTAGCAAAAATAATTAATATATAGAAATATCAAATGATAAAAAAATTAACAAACGTTTATTAAGAGTAATTTTTCTAGTATCATCCTTTATTATATTATAATAATTAATAAATATTAGTTTAATTTTTACATAATAAAATATAAATAATAAATAATTGATTAATAAAACAATTTTACGAGGAACAAAATAAATATAAATAAAAAATCATTTTAAAATAAAATAAGTAGATAAAAAGATAAAATAAATTATATACACATATAAAACAAAAAAATATGAATAAAAAATTAAAAAAATAAATATAAAAGTAAAATAATATTCATGACAAAATAAATATAAATAAAGAAATAAAAAATAAAATAAATAAATAAATAAATAATAAAATAATTTCCATACACATATAATAATAAAAGAAATATAAATAAAATAGAAAATAATAATATCAAATAATTAAAAAGTTAATTTGTAAGACACTTATGAATAAAATAAAATAAATATTAAAATAAATTTCAATTAAAAAGAACATGTATTGTTATACTATTCAGTTTAAAAACTAGTACAATTCAGTTTAAAATTAGTATAATATAATTCAGTTTAAAATTAGTATAGTTAGTAGTTCAGTGTAGTTTATATTGTAGTTTAGTACAATTTAGTATAGTTCAGTTCAGTCCAGTTTGATAAAACAAAAAACAGTCCAGTTTGATAAAACAAAAAACAGTTCAGTTCAATTTGTCTGAACTGTTATACAAATTAGTTTTTAGTTCAGTACAGAGTAGTACTCAGTTCTATTTGTCCACCCCTACTAAAAAGAGATTTTAGATAATACAAAAATGTTGAATTAATGTATTTTTAAGGAGAGTGTTAAAAAAAAATTCATGAAAGTATTTTAAATTACCAAGTATAAGTTGTTTTTTATTCTCAAATGTTAATTAATAGAATGAGTTGAATCCAAAAAATTCTAACTTTTTTTTTCTAAACTTTTTAAATTAATTTTATATTTTTTAAATTTTATTGAAAAAAATTGAATCACAATCTTTTCACATTCCCTTCTAACTTTTTACTACTAAATTAATTTTATAGTTCATCAGTTTTTTCCAGTAAATTAGTTTTACTTTTTTTACCTCACAAATATTTAGGTTAGTTTTACCTTCCTACCTCCCAAATATTTAGGTTAATGTATAAGTTGATGGTTACAATTAAATTTGTTAGTTTAGTTGCCCCATAACTCAAATAATTAAATAAGAGATTAGAAATATAATTTAAATATTTATTTACAATAAAAAATGCTTTTTATTTGACTCTATTATCAAAGTTTAAAAACCTTTAAATACACGCCACTAATAAAGAAAGTGTGTATTCAATGTTTGTTTTTAATAACTTTAGCCTGGAATAACCATCTATAATTTATTTTCTTTTTATTTTCAACACCAATTATAGTCATTTTTAAGGAGTTCATACAACTCAAAAAGAAGTTTTTATTTGTACATACTTTGTTCCCACTTTTATCACAAACAATTTTTTCTCTATTTTTTTTTCTCTTTAAATTGAAGTGACAGAAATACAGAAAATTTGTCATAAGAATCATGTTTATGTTCATAAGAATCATGTCCATGTTTTGTTTCTTGAAGATAATTTATTTTCAAATTAATGCCATTGGAGATTTTTTTTTATCAATGTTCTTTGGAACATTGGTTAGCATTCTTCAAATTATATTTCACTAAACTAATTTTAAGGTATTGTATGTGGCATGCACTTAAATTAATCACAATTTTTAATTGGATAAGAATGCATACAAGATGTATTTATTAGTGTATAATTAAATATAATATTTTGGTAGTGTATATTCTTTAGTTCTATCAAACTAAAAATGGTCATATATTTAAAAATATTGATTATATCTTATACAGCCAATACTTTAATAATGTTGTTTACGTTATCGATAGATGATGTATAAATAGTTCTAAATATATTTTTAATCTCTAAATATAATTATTAAATTTTATTTGCTTAACTTCTTATTTACGTGAAAAGAAATTCAGCTTTATTCTCTCTATATAACCGCATCTGAACATCATATTATTCTTTTTATTCTTATAAATATAATTCATCTTGTTAATTTTATTAGTTGTAGAAGAATTATGTAACCATTAACTGCTTTTTTACTATATGCATTTTGTAACTTACTGATTTTTATATGTTTTCAATACAAACTTTACTAATACTTTTATTTTAATAATTATTACAATGCTTAAATTTTAAATTTTATATATATATATATATTTATATATTATCATAAGAGGGTAGATGTACATACTTTCACACAAGTGTTCCACCCCATTTTAGACTAATCTTAAGTTTAATCAATAATTTAATTCATTATCATTTAATTTAGTTTTTATATTTTTTTTCTGAATTGAATATCAATACATTTTAAATAAAGATAATTTGATCATTTTGTTAGATTGATGTGGTATTTGATCATTTTTCAGATATTGACATTGAAACATGATATCTTTTAAAATCATCAACACCCATTCAGAACAAAAAAAATCAAATTAATCCTGTCCGAAAGATATTGACAAATCAAAAGTTATAAAAATTAAAGTAAATTATAAATCTAAATGTTAGAATTAAATTACTAATTAAACTCAAAGATAATTGAAAGAGTTACTTTTTTGTTTCACATTTTTGTAATCTAGCAAAAATATAAAAGAAACTAAGTAGATAAATAAAAGAGATTAAAATAAAATAATAGGATCAAAACTTTTTTTTACATAACGAAAAGTTAAATAATAGTTTTTAAAATTCGAAAACAAAATATTGCAATATTTCAAAGAAATGAAATAAAATAATTTAATTTTTATATTAAAATAAAAACATTTACATTAATGCATCCTATCATTTATTTTTCCATAACCATAATATTGTATTGCCCTCTCTCTTTCTAATCAGTAATGGTTTCGCTGTTAACCCGTAGAGCCAGAATGGATCGAATCGAATCTTCATTTTTATTTCTTTCTTTTCCTTCATAATTCCAATTTCTTTATTTTCAACTCTGTTTCTCTCGCTGACATGGCCCACCTTCCACGTCGCCTTCACCATTCCTACACACGACAATAATCAATGGCCAACGTTTCTTGGTATAAACTATAAAGACATGATTTTTCAAAAAATTCCATTATGCCCAATTGCTGTTTGGCCATGATAGGGACAATATCACACGCAACCGAAGCTATTTGCCAAAGGACAACGTCCATCACATTTAAGCAAACCTCCAAATTCACAGATTTTCCTCTACTCACCTGAGTTGTTGCCTTCTCATGTTAACTCCTGTTGGCCTTTGAGTATTCATCTTCATTTACTCGTTTTTTGTTTGTTTCATAATTTGAACGAGTTTTTACTTGATCATGCTTTCTTTCAGACGTTTAGTTTTGACTTTTGATAGCGATGGATTATGTCACGAGCTATTCATTTATTTATTATTTTTTACTTTTACTTTTGCGTGGAATCAATCTAACCAGTAAGTTACTTGTAGGCCGCGCATAATTTGACTTTCTTGTGATTCGTAGTTTCTGGTCAGCTGTATGATTTTACCAGTAAATATGTGGATTGTGGACTTTGCTTATCTGTGACTTTGTTGTGTTTCTAGGCATAAACCACAAATGAATCTTGTGCTTTTTCCGTGGGTTTGAGATGGATGAGGATGATGAGGATGATGGAAAGTTATGAGATGTTTGTCTCTCTTCAAGGCTCAAAGAGAAATTAGATTAATTGTGAGGATGATGATCGGACAGGAAAAGGGTGTGAAGCCTGTTCTGCTTAAATTTGGTTTGGCTTTGGCTCTTTCGTTTGCTGGATTTCTCTACTCACGCTTCAGAATCAGAAGAATCAAGCCCTCCAAGTCACGCAAGAGGGGTTCTTTCGGTTGGTTTTGCCTCACCAATATTTCATCTTTCTTTCCCCCCTCTGTTTTCTTGAATGATGAATATAAGTGTCTTTTTCGTTTGTTATCTTTTTCAGGTCACGAGAGTGAAGTTAATTCAGGAGGAGGTATAGGGGCAGCACTAAGCACTTGCAACACCATTTCAGCAAGAAATTTTCTATGTTCTGTAAGTTGCTTTTGGGTACTCTGTCACAGAGAGAAATAGTATTTTTCTGATTTTTTAAAGCTGTCATTTTTATAAGGTTTTATTTTTGATTCATTACTATCAATATTGAGGGTGGGAATTTATAAATATTGAGGGTTTCCGATAAAAAAAGAAAGTATTTAAAAAGTGTACATCTTTTAGTAAAGTAGTAGTGTTATAGGTACCCGTAGCCACTACTTAGTTAGGTTAATGGACTGATTAGTGTGAACCAGGCATGTTGCCTATAAATAAAGGGAGAGGTTGAGACAGATATCTCTCTTTCAATTTACGAGCATTGTGCAAAAGAGAAATAAGAAAAACTGTTGTTGAAACTAAGAAAATTATAGTAAGTTAAGAAAGTTTTGGTCGGGCAACTGAATTCGAACTTTGAAACCTTTCATATCATGGTGCTGTATATAAAATACTTTTTAGGAAGAAAGTAAATTTGTATGTAAGATATTTTGCATGCAATTACTAATTAACATAACTAATTATACACATTACACAAAGTTGGCCATTTTGTTTTTCTTTTCAGAAAACTTAAAAACTAAAACAGGGTTATTAACTTTTGCTTTGATTGCAGGAAGAAACTTGCACCGACAGGGAGATAACTGGCAATTCTCCTCTTGCTCTCTCTCCTGACAGTACACAAAATGGTGATAGAGATGAGTTCCTCCTACCTGAATTTAATGATCTTCTTAAGGTCATAGACTTTGGAGCCACAGTTGTTAGAAATTCTTCTAAAATAAATATGGAAGCACCATGGTTAAAAGAATATGCAGATCCCGAGAAGGATGATTACGAGCAAGAGGTAGCTGAACTCCGGAACATGATTAGAATGCTTCAAGACAGGGAACAAAGTCTTGAGGTTCAACTGCTCGAGTATTGCGGTCTTAGAGAGCAAGAAACAGCAGTGATGGAGCTGCAAAATAGATTGAAAGCAAGTACTGTGGAGGTAAAGATGTTCAATCTGAAGGTTAAGACCTTACAGTCTGAGAATTTGAGACTAAAGGAGCAGGTCTCCGATCATGGAAAAGTGCTGGCTGAACTTGAGAGTGCAAATGCGCAAGTCAAATTGCTTAATGAGAAAATTAAGTATGAAGTTGAACAGAACAGGGAGCAGATAATAAGTCTTCAACAAAAAGTTTCCAGGTTGCAAGACCAACAGTGCAAAGATGCTGCTTGTGATCAGGACATTCAAATTAAGCTGCAAAAGCTAAAGGAGCTTGAGTCTGAAGCAGAAGAGTTGAGGAAGTCTAATTTAAGATTGCAGATAGAAAATTCTCACTTAGTTCGAAGATTAGATTCTACTCAAATCCTTGCTAATGCAGTTCTGGAAGACCCAGAGGTACGGAGATTATAATCACCAACACCTTTCGTTCAGTCACTACTTGTTAGACTCTAATCTTTACCTTGTGCTTTTGGGATGCAGGTAGATGCTGTGAAGCAAGAAAGTGAGTGTCTTAAACAAGAAAATGCACGCTTGACGAAGGAAATTGAGCAACTATATTCTGATCGATGTTCAGATCTCGAAGAATTAGTATATATGCGGTGGATAAATGCTTGCTTACGATATGAACTAAGAAACTATGAAGCCCCACCTGGTAAAACGGTTGCAAAGGACTTAAGCAGAAGCCTGAGCCCCACGTCTGAGAGGAAAGCCAAGCAGCTTATACTTGAATATGCAAATGCTGATGGACCAGGGAACATTGTGGACTTTGATATAGATCAATGGTCCTCCTCGCAGGCTTCTTCTCTCACTGACATTGGAGAGTGTGATGATTTTTCTTCTGTAGATAATTCATCTGTTGCAAAAACTAACACCACAAGCCAGACCAAGCTTTTAAGCAAGCTTAGACAACTGATACAAGGTAAAGACAGTTGTCATCACCATAGTCATGTTTCATCACAAGAAAAATTCAGACGTCAAAATAGCAATCCTCAACGGCAAAGTACTTCAACTGGAATTGAGGGTCTTAGGAGTGAGTTTGCAACTCCCATTGTCACATCCAGAACTTCCCTTGATTTCTCTAGGTTGACGTGTACTCAGGAAGAAGTAAACAGGAGAAATTCAGATAGCGCTTTCATGGAAAGCTCAAAGAAATTCAGTCCACGTAAAAGTGGTTCCTTCTCAGATTCCTTGGGCTTGGAAAAAAATAATTTGGAGAAATACGCAGAAGCTTTAAAAGATTCTAGCGTGAGTGCTAGACAACAAAGACGTAGTAGATCAGCATCATGTAGTTAGTTTTTTGTAACTTATTATCAATGATGCATTAGAAATATATACAGTGAAGTAGTCAATGTAAATTAGCCGTCAGGTGTAGTTCAGACACCATCTGTGTACTAAATAAAAATGCATTTTCAATCGTAGTCATACTTCATAAATAGTTTTAGTTCTGATTACCACAGTACAACATTTTATATGGCTTTGGTAACCCTGTTTTGGTATTAGTATATCATTGCTCAAATCGTTTACATTTGCTTCATCTGCACTTGGCTTTGCGTAACATCATAACTAGTTTTTGGCATTAATTAATTGCATATCCTGGCGTAAAATCTGGATGTACATGTCCTAGCCGGTGATATCACTGTCATGGGAAAAATTTTAAATATCAGTTTAGTGATTATGTCTATCGTGTTCTTCTGATTTTTACCTGCATTATGTAGTCGTGTTGTCGTTTTCTAGGTGATTCCTTGGGTATGTGCTTATGAGTGTAAAATGGAAAGCTTGCGGCAGCAATAATTCATTTCAAATTTGAATTTCATTTGTTCCTTGATTTTCACAATGACCTTGATTAAGGAGAACAGGATAAAAAAGAACAAATAAGTATAAGCATTCCTACATGCATTATTTCCACGATGAGTTAATCCGAAATTTCTCAAGATTTTATTAAATACTACAACACTGGCTTCTCCAGAATCGAGAAATAATAAACTTTTGCTTCATTTCCATGAACAGTAGTGGTACAGAGCCATGTGTAGCCCTTATGTGATAAGGGCTATGCCTTGTAAAATCAATGCATCGGCTAGAACTTGGTTAGCAGCTTGTGAAGGATGGACGCTATCCCAAAACACATATTGGGTTGCATTAGAACAAGTTCCTGGTGATTTTGGATTGCACAATAAAGATGTTGTCTCCACTATTCCAGTACCACAGCAACCTTTCCTTGCCTCGGCAAAACCTATTCAATATCAAAAGAAAGTATAGAAGAATAAGAACCATCCTTTTACACCAAGAGGTCAAAGTCATGTGTGATTGTATTCTAGTCAAATTAAGTATTAATTACCAAATTTTGAAGGGGACTGAACAAGGTCATAAAGAGGTTTGAAAATATCAAAGACAACAATCTTAAGACCAGGAAGTTGCTTTTGGAGATTTGCTGCGGCTGTCTTGATTTTGTTGTTAAATCCTTGGGCATCATTGTTGATCTTCGAGACACAACCATTCTCGTGAAAACCAAACAAAGTTCTTGCAGCTGGTAGGCAACCTAGAGGTGGGAGTGAAGTCACTCCAACCCTCCTAGCTCCCAATTTATACAAATCCTGTGTTCAAAACAAAGCACCTTTAAAAGTTTTTTCCTGTTTTGGAAGATTATGACTCATTTTTCCAGTTACCAGCCATAGCTTGCAGAGTAACAGTAACAAATTAAAATACCTTAACAAAGATTGAAAATGCACCAACAAGGTATGCAGAATACTGATCAGGAGTGAAGGCTTTGCTGATTATAGGATTGACGTAATAGTTTTGAACAAAATCACTACTGCCAGCACTCAATATGTACAGCGCATCCTTAATAATAAACGCTGCTTTTTTACTGCCAGCAACCTTGGCCAGCTTGCCTTGATATTCCTTGAAATATTTTAACTGTTGAGACAGTGGAATCGCATGCTGCAAAAATAATATTGGAAAAACATAAATTTTCAAAGATATGAGTTTGCCGGAGTGTGTGCGAACGGTATTCTTCCCAACTTACGTTCAAAATAGCAGCCTTTTCATCATAACCAGAGGCTGCTGAAGCAAAGTTTGCTCCAATGAGAAGATTCTTCCCTGAAGCCTGAGGGCTAAGATATGCAGGTGCAAAACTCTTAAAACCAAGCGTTTCAGCTGCAAAAGGAAACGTTATTTCCACAAGAATGAAACTTTATTTCCACAAGAATGAAACTTTATTTCTAACCAAGCCGAGTGAGTTTAAAGTTTAAATTTATGTCCTCACCAGTAATATCAGTGGCTAGTTTCCCATTGCAGAACCTCCCAGTGGGTTGATGGTTGACAAAGTCCCTTCCATAAGGAAGGTAGTTCGCCTTGAAAAGGGTAGGCAAATAATCATTATTCCCAACATCCACGGCTGAGTCACCAAATGTTATGATTGCTGGCACAAGGGTATTTTGTGCATTACCCCATCCCAAGAAGACAAATGCAAAGAGTGCAAGAAGCCCTTTTGTGCTATTGATATTCATCTTTGTATGGCTAACAATAACCTTTCTGCTGTGCATGTGTTATATTTATAAGTTGAAGTGTCGAACTAATATGGCAACTGAAATGACCCCTTATCACCCTACTAATGGAGGAGGATTGAAGTTGAGCATGGCTATTAAATGAGAACACATGAACTGGTCACATCCTTCGGTAATTTTCTGTTTTTTGAGACCATACGTTTTAACCTCACACGTGATTTTGCTTTCTAGTCACAAACTCCAGTGTCGTGTCTGTGTACATTGTTTCTTTCATTTACTATGGTGGTCGGTGAGAAAAGTTGTTGAAATTTTGTGCTTAGGAGGCAGCATAATAATCTTGATCACGAGAGAGCTGCATGTATCGGAGAGTTGGAGTTTTTCCCATTGATGAATTAGCGGTGTATCTTCTTTTCGGTGAATAAAATGGATAATTCAAGTTGAACTTTTTTCATTTTCTGATTCAAGTTTGATTCAAAGTTGGAAGTCCTACCGACCAATTTACAAGTATATAAACTTAATCTTTTATGAAAATTAAATTAGACTTAAACTCTTCTTTTTAAGATTATATTAGAGTTTAAAAATAAAATCAACTTACAATATATAATTGGATTAAGACAAATATAAATGATTTAAATCCTTCACCAAAATGAAAAAATATATCACATCCAATCATGTTACATTTTTCACACACAGAGATTTGCCTCTCTTGCTAAGGTATGCCTTTTACTTTAGAGGGATAATGGATTTATTCTCTTGTAAATCCACAAGACTATATATAATTGGAGGTTGACAAAAAATTATAAAACTAAAAATAATAGAAAAAAGTAACCAGAAAACACATTCTTGACCACTATCTTGCATCTGGGCCCCAATCAGCTTCAAGATCAACAACGTTCATTTCAATCGAGTTGATGCCTTCTTGTTCTCGAGTTGCTTCCATTTTTAAGGACTCTTTCAGTTCAGAGACAATGTGATTCATTGATGGCCTTTGGATAGAGATTGAAGGCACACAAGATACTGCTGCCTCCAAGGCCTTCCACATAGAACCAAAGTCAAAATCTCCTTGCATCTTTGGATCAACAATTTGTTGTATATCTCCTCTTTCAAGAAAGTGGTTAACCCATTGCACAATGTGAGTGTTCTGATGACCTTTTATTATGGCTGGCTGCCCAGTAATTAGCTCCAAAAGTACAATGCCAAAACTATAAACATCGCTTTTTTCAGTCAGCCTGCTGGATATGTAGTATCTGTAAAAGCAAACTCAAAAAGGTTAAAAACGATATGTTCAACTTAAAACCTTCTTGTAAATATAAGAAACCGCACCATGTTTGTTTGATCAAACTTACTCTGGATCAAGATATCCAACAGTGCCAATAACTACAGTTGATACGTAACTTTCATTTTCAGCTGAGAAAAATTTTGAGAAACCAAAATCAGCAACTTTTGCTTGCATTTTCTCATTCAGTAAAATGTTTGCAGTCTTTATGTCTCTGTGGACTATTGGTGGCTTGCAGCCATGATGCAAGTACTCGATACCTATAAGTACAAGTTCCAATACAGTAATTCAGCATCCTTTAATCACATCAAAGTGAGGAATGAGAAAATAAAAGAGTCTGATACACCACTAACCTTGAGCAGCATCAACTGCTATCTGAATCCTCTGTCTCCAACTCAATGGTTCTCTTTTAAGATCTACTCAGACACAAAATAGAGTATTGTGTCTTGTTTACTTGAATATAGTCATCGATGAAGTAGCTATGCAATGCAAGCATGAAATGAACGGGGAAACAAATTAATATACCTGAAAGATACTCTTCCAAGTTACCATTAGTCATGTATTCGTAAATGATGGCTGTGCGTCCGACTTCATTACAGTATCCAAGAAAGGAAGCTAAGTTCTTATGATGAACACGCATTAAGAGTTGAGCCTGCAAATACGTGGAAGCATGCCATCTTAGCTATAATATTTCCTTAAATTCAAAATATGCCATTTCAAATTTCTATGGTGAGAAGCATGCCTCTGTCTGAAACTGCTGAGATCCTTGAGGAGATTTAGACGAGAGCATTTTGACAGCAGCTTGTGTGCCATCTTGTAAGTAACCAAGGTAGACAATTCCACACCCTCCCTTCCCAATTGTTTTGTCAAAGTTATTGGTTATAGTCATTATCTGAGAATACGAGAACTGATTATTATTTGTCTTCAGCACAACTTCTTCGTTTGATCTCACAGCTTGCTTTGAGGCTAAACAAAGTAATAAAAAATTTATTATTGCTCTGTCATTTGAAGTGAAAAAGTTTAGTTTGTTCTTTGTACAAAAGGAGTTTAATGCATTTTGAAGTCAATGATTGTGAGATCCTCAGTTTAGCTTCAAAGTAAGACAGTTTTATCTATTTTCAGACCTGGGTTTTTGTTGCGTCTCCTCCAAATGATAGTCAGCACAATACCCAATACAATGAAAAAGATCACAGCTGAAAGAATGCCTGCCACAAGTGGAACAATATTGTTTTTCTTCTCTTCACATGGCCCTATCGGGCAGAGATCCAGATCCACACTATGGTCATAACAATTTTGTTTCAAAAGATTGAAGAAGAAAAGCAAAATAAACAAGTTACAAGAAAAAGTAGGTTAGTGAGAAACTTATTATCATCATTATTTCAAACCAAAACAAACCTCAACATAAGGGAACCGTTATTTGATCTTTCCAAGAGAACTGGAGGAATTTCACCCGAGAGTCTGTTCCCTGATAAATTGCTGCTAACATAGCATATGTCAGATGACTATTTTGATTTCCACTGACAAACACAGATACTGAAATCTCTATAACTTACAGAGTTTTTAAGTACTGCAGCTTTGAAAAATCAGGCAGTGGTCCTGTTAAGCTATTGTTTGATAAATCCCTGAAAAGCAAAGCATTGTTTTTATGTTAAACTAAAATTATGGTAGACTAATAATTGTTTAAAGAATCCATGTTAAAGGCTAAGTCCAACTTTAGAGAAGAAATATCATATTTTCCAACCTTTTTTGGGAAGGAACAGAATCTACTCAATCGGTTGTCAAATTAACACTTACAAGAATTCTAAGAATTTGAGCTCCAAAAAAGAATCAATTATCGGGCCATCTAATCCACTGGAGGCTAGGTTTCTGCACGAAGTTCAAATAAGTTTTGGTCTGCGGTGATTTAAACAATGCAAATTCCAAATTTGGAAAATAGAACTTACAATGCAGTTATTGCGGGTGGATTATATCCATTATTGCTGCAGTTGATACCATTCCAAGAGTATTTCAACGGTGCACAAGGGTCTCCTTGCCAAGATTTACCCAACGACGACATCAACTTGTAATATGATTTGATGGACATGATAGCCTTAACTATAATTCTCACAAGCATATAATGTCAATGTCTGTTATTTCGTTAACCAACTTTTCTAACTTGTAACGTGATTTATACTTTTACTACCTTTCTAACAGTTGTAGCTGTTACTACAAAAAACAAAAAGGAAATCAAAGAAAGGACAAGGAACAACACTAACCATCTTCTTGATCTGTGGGTGATTGCAAGAATTCTTTAACAATATAAATCTCCATCGCATTTAGAATGGGAGGATGGGTGGAATTTGGTTTCTTGTACATAGAAAACTTGAGCTTACTTCCTCTAATGGCCTGTTTACTTTCTATCGTAGTTGACAGCAAATACTTGGGAGAAACAGATTCAGACAAAATTTGTCCATTCAGTGTAATGTCGAATACCCTGCTTTCGTTTTCCTTAAGATCTTCGATTTCAGCAAAGTGCATATAGACATATGAATCCGAAGTAGGATGCCCAGTGTCAAAATCAAATTCCAGGGAATCATTTTCATTTGTTGCTCTCACAGCAGTTTTCATTACTGCTGTTGGAAGGTGATAAGCAGTATGGTTCAAGGAGTCAATGCTGAAGGAAGTACTGAGTGGTGTAGAATCTGGTAAGTTGTAAGGATACCACATTCGATCATAAGTATCTTCTTCAAATCTACATGTAATCAGACAAGATTAAAAGCTAAACAATGTAAAGAAATTAAACTTGTTTAACATCTGTGATTATGCTACTTACCTCACTATTTCATTGGTTGTTGATCCAATGTCAAAACGTCTGTATAGGGATAAGAGTTTAGAGTCTGTTCTATAACTGGAATGATCAAAGTGCCTCACCTCCAGTGCTGATATAAAAGGAGTTCCCATATCAGTATTCAATAAACAAATATACAATTCATCCAAAGACGGCACATGTAAAATCTCTTTGATTACAACATGAGTGGCATTTTCAAACTTCACAGAGTCCCAAAAATTGACCCCAACATAGAGATGAAATTGTGGCAGCATGTTCAAGTCATCATAGTTTCCATACATAAAAGAAGCTCTTATCAAGTATATAGTATTTCCGCCTTCTGGATGTCGTAGTGTGTAACAGTTTCTTTTATCCTCGGGGAAGCTTCTCACAGTAGTGAAAACTCCTTGGGGTATTTCAGAAGTGAGCTTGAGGGGTATATTTTTTCTTGTTCCAGTGCCAATAAACTGTGCATCTGAAGTGTAATGAATCTGAGTTTTCTCATCAGTGTAGGCCACTTCTTCTGGTATCCCACAGTCAATGGAAATAGAACCTACAATCAACACAAACTGACATCAGAAGAATATATGGATATAATAATAAAAAATTCAGTACTTTTCTTTAACCCTTTCTTTTAGATTAAGCATTTAATAAGTACGTATAATTTTTCGGACAATTTTGTACAAGCTCAGAGCAGTAGCAGAAAATCCTCACCACTGACATCATCCAGTTTCCTTCTTCCTTGTTTGTGATGCATAGAGTTGTTCTCTGTGGCCTTTCCTGAAAATTCTAAAATGGTATATGCAAGGACACACCATAAGGTGAAGATCCAAGCCCAATGGCATCTCCGTTTTCCATCCATGAAATTTCATAAAGAGATCACATTTGCTATTTGGTATAAGCAGATATTATCAAACAGTTGATATTTTTTGTGATTAGAATAAAATGATAAGGCATTTACTCC